GTGTTCTCCTCACCACCCACCCTCCCTGTGTTCTTCTTATCCGCTCTCCTCCCTGTGTCCTCCTCCCCTTCCCCTCCCTGTGTTCTCCTCACCACCCACCCTCCCTGTGTTCTTCTCAGTCCCCCCTTCTCCTCACCCTTACTCTCCCCCCTCCTCCTTGTGTTCTTCTCACTCCCCACTTGTTCTTCTTCCCCCGTTTTTCATACCCCCCTTCTTCTTACTCTCCCCCTTCTTGACCTCTCCTCTCCTCCCTTCACCTCTCCTCTCCCCCTTCACCTCTCATCTACCCCTCACCTCTCCTCTCCCCCTCACCTCTCCCCTCATCAGCATTATTTATTATATATTATTTTTTGTGTGACAGTGTGTATTTATTTTTCCCTGCAAGAAAGGGATTTTTTTAAATTGGTATATTAAAAGTGACGTTTTAATATTAATTTTTTTACCACTATATTAGAGTGTTCCCCTGGATGATACTACTCAGCACTAGCACCTCCAACCTTTCTCTTCTTTTTCTTGTCACTAAATAGGGGTTATCCCCCATGGAGGTACTAGTAAATTAAGGCTCCTTTCTTCTCCTTTTTTTGTGTCTTTTCTATATTAAATATGTAATTATCTGACTCCACCTGCAGAATGGAGTGTTATAACTACATATTCTTTATTTAATTAAGACTCATCAATTATGGGATCTGATCGTGATTTATCCATGCATGTATTCTGCTATTAATAGATTTTAATTAATTTAGATTAATTAAATAAAACCAGCATAAATACCAGTTATGATGTAGATGTTCTCATCAGATCAGTAGTTAGTCCCAGGAACTTGAATGCGAGTATGATTGGTTGTATGGAGGTGTATAAGTAATAGAGAAAAGTGATATTGGTTAGAAAGTAATAGTAAAATTGTCAAGGAGTGTTTCTTGAGTTGTGTCCAAGAGAGTTTGAGAGTTGAGAGTTAGTCCCAGAGTGTCCTGGATCTCTCTGAATGTCCGAATCTAAAAGCCCAAACTCACTTCTCTCTTCCCTTTGTTCCTAACTTTTAAAGGGCCAGACTCTCTGTACATAATTAGTTGATAAGGCCAATAGGGAACTATAGGTGTGTCTACGTTATCTAGTATTATCTAGATTTTGGTCAATAGAGGTTGCAATTGCCTCATCAACATTTTGTATCCTCAAAAGAGTTAAATTATTTTGATGATGATTCTGACGTCATTTGGCTTATCTAAAATGACTACCATAACTTAAATTTGCTGTCAGTTCAAAGCGTTTCTTTGGATTTTCTCCAGACAGCGAGTCTAAATTCCTGTTGTAATTTCTAAAATTGACAGTCCTAAACTCAATTTCACCCCTTACTTACAATGGGACCTTGTAAGATTTAGAAAGTAAAATTAATTACTGAGTCTTCTCTGTCACTAGTGTCTGTGTTTAAAATTATTTCTATTCCATTAACATTTAAACAGAGCATTCCATCCCCCTGCTTCATTGCTTATCACTTGGCTTGTTTACATAATGCATTCCTTAGCTCAGGCTAGTGGCTAGTTACAGAAAGGAAAGAAATTTTGTGTCTGTCTTGTCTGAAGATAGCAAAATGGAGTCCGCTTTTTTCTGAGTGACTCTGGCAATATACACTTTTAATTTCTATCTTAGCACAAAATGTCTGCCGATATAAATATCCTGACAAACTCCATAGAGAATCTCTGGGGCATTGGCAAGAGAAAGATGAGAGACATGAGACCAAACAATGCAGAAGACCTGAAGGCCGCTATTGAAGCATCCTGGTCTCCCATAACACCTCAGCAGTGCCACAGGCTGATAGCTTCCATGCCACGCCGCATTGAGGCAGTAATTGCTGCAAAAGGGGCCCAAACCACGTACTGAGTCCATATGCATGCTTATACTTTTCAGAGGTCCGATATTTTTCTATGTACACTCCTTGTTTTATTGATTGCATGTAATATTCTAATTTACTGAGATTTTGGATTTGGGGTTTTCATGAGCTGTAAGCCATAATCATTGCACTTATGACAAATCACGGCTTGAACTATCTTGCTTTGCATGTAATGTGTCTATCTCATATATTAGTTTCTCCTTTTACGTTGCATTACTGAAATAAATGTTTTGCATGATATTCTAATTTTTTGAGTCTCACCTGTAAATGTTATTAGTGTAGGAATTTCTGAAAAGTATTTGTTAATACACATATTAATGGCAATAAAGATCTGTATATCCAGATACTGGAAGAGCGCAGAAATTCCTTCTCCAAGCAAAATTATTACCCGAATTAATCATCAAGGGGTAATGCTGTAGCAGAACCCCTTTTTGGCTGTCCCATTCTTTCATTTATTGTTGGCACTGCAGAGATTTTCCTGTGCCTGGAGTACACAAAATGCCTTGTAACTAGATGTGGCCATACTTTGTTCGGTATAAGAATGCCAGCTTACATGTGAACGACTAAATTCACCATAAGAAACAAAGTACCGAATGAACCTGACCACCCTGATGTGAAGAATGGATATAATTTACCTCCATGATTGCTTTTCATATTCCCTTGTACGCACAAATACGCCACTATAATCCCTGGGTGACCGCCATTTCGGCCCAGCGTTCGGTAGGATGAATCCCACGAACTAGGGGATTCATCTAGTTACCGAATGCACTATGGATGGTATAGCCTTTCAGGACTTTTGGGGCACGAATGGAGACCGACCGCAGGGCCAGATTTCATGGAACTATTTTTGGCTACCTTACCCATGTGGTCGGTCAAAACTTTACCTTCCCATAACTCCCAAACCCCTGGTCTGATCTTGGTGATTTTTGGATATGTTTCTCACCCAGATCAGGGCTACCAGGGGGTACCATATTTAAGGGGATATACCACCTTTGTGGTACATTTGAAAAGTGGGGAAAAGTATGCCTTGCATAATTGTATTAATTGCTAATCTAAGGGGAGGAGATGTGTGGGAGGTTACGTCTATGGGATTGGTTACTGTACTAATTGTGGTGAATCCCTCCCTTGCATGGGAGAATCTCATAAAAGAATCTCTACTCCTGATACTGTGTGTTGTCCAGGAAAGGTGATGGGATACTATTGGATTGTATTGCTGATTGTGCTGAATAGTCTCTTGGATTTACTACTTGCTCCTGCATCCTCTTAATATATTAGTGGAGTTTAGCCGTGGGAAACCAGCTCTCCGCTACAAATGCAAAAGGCGGTGTACTTTAATAATGGAAATATTAGGAAATATAATAAAATCTGGTCTAGATGGTTCAAATACTATGGAGTGTAAAATCAACCTTCTGGGCAAGTAAGAAAAGAAATGTAGTCTGTTTCTAGTCCATCAAATTGCCATTTATTAATACAAGATAGCTGTAGCGACCTTCATCCCTACAATGTAGGCAATCATATTTTATATATTAGTTACTTAATTATATCCATATATAAAATACATTTTGTTGTATGTCTATCAGGCAAATGTGGAGTCAATTAGTATAAAAATGAAGGGCTCCACATTTACATTAAGTAATCGGAAATGATTAGCTGAGATATCGATTAACGTCAAATAGACTCGGGGAGGGGGATTGGTATGCTTGTAATTTGTATAATTTGCACTACTTGTTTTTATTGCTGCTACTACCATATTGGTGTAGCTTAACCCCTTAAGACCGGAGGGCGTACTATTACACCCTATTTAAGCGGCTCTAAACGATGCTTAGGGCGTAATAGTACGTCCTCCGTTTTTTTTTTTTTTACTTACCCGGTCGCCGGCGATCCCACGCCAGCGATCGCGGTTGGGGGGACTCTCAGGGAGCCCCCCACGTCAGATCTTCCCTCCTGCAGCCCCCCCGGCCATGTGAGAGTGAGGTCCTTGCGAGGACCTCACAATCACATGGCCGGGTTAGCTGCCTGCTGCATTACCGGCAGGGGGACTGCTTGTAATGACAGGTAGTCCCCCTGCTGGCTGAATTCAAATAAAATAAAATTAAAATAAGTGTAAAAAAAAATATATATATACTTAGATCATATATATATATCTATAATATATACATATATTATTTATATATGATCTAAGTATATATATACACATATACATACACACACATACACTTTCTAGGTGTATTTTACTTTTTTTATATTAAGGCCTTTTGGCTTGTAATTGTGGGAGGGGCATATGACACACACCTTCCCTACTTAAGGGACA